AGAGGACAGATGGTTTGAAAGAGGAGTAAAGGAAGCCATTTATGTCCACTGTGAGCAACCATCATTGAACAGAGGCGGTGGTTTACGACACCAACTGTCTGCCACCTATAATCCAGTTTTGAGATCCCTTCCCAGATGCCTCAACGCCCACGCATATCCTGGGCCATCTGACCTCAGGAATTCACATGATAGGGTGGGGCCAGGTTTCACAATGAGCTCACCCGAAACTCTGGCTGAATAGGACCCACACCCACCCTCACACCTTGGCTCATAGAAGATCATCAGGGGGTCTTTTGTTCCCTCTTCGGGGGGAAACTCCCACTGGGTTTAAATCTGGGACTCTCCACCATTTGACCTCAGAACTGAAGAAGCCTCTCGGATGAGAGGTGAAACGTCTTCAAGCAACTCAAAGAAGTCCAGACGCTTTTCTTTCAAGCTCATTAGACCAGTAAATTTCAAAATAAAAGTACTGCAGTGATGCAGTTTCATACATATGAAGCTTACGCGTGACCCAGCGGCGTATTCACTCACAGCATCGTTCCAGAAGTGAAGCGGTGGGTTTTCATGGCTTTATTCCCGGCAGTGGAGAGAAACAACATCATATACGACATCAAACAGCGATAAACTGATTTCCTTCCTTTTGGTTTAATGGCGGATTGCATAAACAAACCGTAAATTTTGAAGTCTGGAGGGATCGTGTGATCTCGCAAGTCAAGCAGGGAGCACGGCAGAGAAGCCACATCACTGCTGAGACTGCCCCCGGTTTCCACGGCCGTTCCGCGCCGCTTTTGCCTCCGGAGTGAAGTAGGCGTCATATGTTGTTGGACCGTATTTAGTTTAGACTGCGACACACATTCGCTGTGGCGTTGTTTCAATAAGCTTCTGCAACGTCACAAGATTTATCTCCATCCAGTGTTCCATTAACGTTTCACCAAGATCTTGCACCGATGATGGTGGAGTCTGACCACTGCACAAAGCCTTCTCCAGCACATCCCAAAGGTTCTCCACGGGGTTAAGGTCTGGACTGAAGGCGAAGGCCAATCCATGTGTGAAAATGATGCCTCATGCTCCCTGAACCACTCTTTCACTACCTGAGCTGATGAATCCTGTCATTGTCATCCTGGAATGTGGCCGTGCCATCAGGGAAGATGGAATAACCTGGTCATTCAGGATATTCAGGTAGTCAGCTGAGCTCATTCTTGGAGCACTTCCTGTTGCTGAACCTAGGCCTGACCAACTGCAGCAAGCCCAGATCATAGTACTGCCCCCACAGGCTTGTGCAGGAGGCACTAGGCATGATGGGTGCATCACTTCATCTGCCTCTCTTCTTACCCTGGTGCGCCATCACTCTGGACCAGGGTCCATCTGGACTCAGACCAGTTTTAATAATGAGTTGAACAGTTCTGAACCCAGTTTTAGTGGCTTCTGCATCTCCTTAGATGATGCATGCCAATGATCAGACCCTTCTCACACAGACTAACATCTTTTCCACGACCACCAGATGTGTCTTTCCACATGGTTCAAGAAATGAGAAACAACTCATTTCACCATTTGGGTTTAATAACTGCATGGGTGATTATCTTTCAGCTGGTAGCAAGTTATTATCCAACAGGAGACTCCTACTTGTCTGATAAGTTAAATCCAAGTGACGACTTTTTTGCCAGGCAGTGCAGTACTAAAGGTAAAATACAGTACAAGAAATCTGTTTATTTTCTGTGATTAAGATGAGTTTAGAAGCGGAGTCTCTTTCAGATTAACTTTAGGTCCAGAATTCCCGCTCCCCAGCCACTTGAGCCAGCTCCTCTGGGGGATTTCAAAGGCGTTCCCTGGCCAGCTGAGAGACATAAATCCCCCAGTGTGTCATAGGTCTTCCTGTAGGTCTTCTCCCAGTTGGACGTGGCCAGAAAACCTCACCAGGGAGGCGTCCAGAAGGCATCACTCAAGCCACATCAACTGGTTCCTCTCGATGTGGAGGAGCAGCGGGTCTACTCCGGCCCCCTCCCAGATGAGCAGGTTTTCATTCTATCTCTAAGGGAGAGCCCAGCCACCCTGCGGACAAAAATCATTTTGGCAGCTAGCGTCAGTGATCTCGTTCTTTCGGTCACTACCCAAAGCTCATGACCAGAGGGGAGGGTAGGAACGGCAGGTAAACTGAGAGCTTTGCCTTTCGGCTCAGCTCTCTATTCACCACGACAGACCGGTACAACGCCCGCATCCCTGCAGACGCAGCATCAATCCGCCTGTTGATCTTGTGCTCCATCTTTCCCTCACTCTTGAACAAGACCCCGAGATACTTAAACTCCTCCACTTGGGGCAGGACCTCATCCCTGACCTGGAGAAGGCATTCTACCATTTTAAAATTCAAGACCACGGTCTCAGATTTAAAGGAGCCGATTCTCATCCCAGCAGCTTCACACTCAGCTGCGAACCGCTCCAGCGAGAGTCAGAGATCACGTTGGGATGAAGCCAACAGGACCCATTCATCTGCAAAAAGCAGAGACTCGATCCTTAGCCCACCAAAACGAATCCCCTCAACACCTTGGCTGCACCTAGAAATCCTGTTGTTATAAACAGAATTGGTGAAAAAGGGCAGCTTTGGTGGAGTCCAACTCTCACTGGAAATGAGCTCCACTTACTGGGCGACGGTGGCACAGGAGTTAAGTGCTCGCCTCGCAATCGGAAGGTCGCAGGTTCGAGACCCGCTCAGTCTGTCGCTGTCATTGTGTCCTTGGGTAAGACACTTAACCCACGTTGCCTGCTGGTGGTGGTCGGAGGGACCGGTGGCGCCAGTGCTCGGCAGCCTCGCCTCTGTCAGTGCACCCCAGGGCAGCTGTGGCTACATTGTAGCTCATCCCCACCAGTGTGTGAATGGTTGAATGACTGATTGTGTTGTAAAGCGCCTTGGGGGGTTCCAGGATTCTAGAAGGCGCTATGTCAAATACAGGCCATTTACAATTTACCATTTACTGCCGGCAATGAAGACCAAGCTCTGACGCCAGTCATATTGGGACATAACAGCCCGTATCAGAGGGCCTGGTACCCCATACTCCTGAAGAACCCTCTAAAGGACCTCCTGAGGGATGCCATCGAAGGCCTTTTCTCTACAAAATACATGTAGATCGGTTGGGCAAGCTTCCACACACCCTCTTGGGTGCACGGAAGCACGGAACAGGGCCCACTTGGACTCAATGTCCCCTACCTCTCCTGGAACATTTTGGAAGTTCTGTCAGAGGTGGGAATTGAAACTTCTTCTGATTGGAGACTCCGCCAGATGTTCCCAGCAGACCCTCACAATTTGTTTGGGCCTGCCAGGTATGACTGGCATCCTCCCCCACCTTCGGAGCCAACCCACCACCAGGTAGTGATCAGTTGACAGCTCCGCCCCTCTCTTCACCCGAGTGTCCAAGACATGCGGTCTTAGATCAGATGAAACAACAACAATACCGATCGCTGTGCTGCAGCCTAAGGTATCCTGGTGCCAAGAGCACATGTGGACACCTTTATTACTTAACATGGTGTTCATTAAAGACAATCCACGACGAGCACAGAAGCCCAATAACAAAACAACACTGAAATTCAGATCAGGGTTCCTCCCCATCACACTTCTCCAGGTCTCACTGTCGTTGCCCACGTGAGCGTTAAAGTCCCCCAGCAGAACAAGGGAGTCACCGGAAGGAGCGCTTTCCAGCACCCCCTCCAAGGTCTCCAAAAAGAGTGGGTAGTCTGAGCTGCAGTTTGGTGCATAAGCACACACACAACTGTCAGGACCCGTTCCCCGCACCTAGGCGAGAGAGGCTACCCTCTCGTTCACCGGGGTAAAACCCAACGTATAGGCACCAAGATGGGGGGCAACTAGTATGCCCGCCCCTGCTTGGTGTCTCTCAGTGGGGGCAACTCCAGAGTGGTAGAGTGTCCAGCCCCTCTCAAGGAAACTGGTTCTGGAGCCAGAGCCATGCATCGAGGTGAGTTTGACTATCTATAGTCAGAACCTCTCAACCTCACACACCAACTCAGGCTCCTTCCCCACCAGAGAGGTGACATTGCACGTTCTGAGAGCTAGCTTCTGTAGTTGAGGATCAGACCGCCAAGCTCCCCGCCTTTGGCTACCATCCGTCACACACTGCACCCGACCCCTTTGGCTTCTCCCACAAGTGGTGAGCCCATGGGAAGGGGAGCCCGCGTTTCCTCTTTGGGCTGTGAAAGCCTGACCACCAGGTGCTCGCTAACGTGTCCCACCTCCAGAGGGGGCCCTGGTGACCCATGTCCGCACGAGGGAACACTTTTTCCATTGATATTTGCCATCATAAGAGATCTGTGGGCTGCGCTTTGTCTGATCCGTCAGAGTTACTTAAGTTACTAAAGTTACTAAAGTTACACAGTGGAATAAAAGCCTCTGAAAGCCTCTGAAAGCACAGAAGGTAACTTTACATTTTTATTATCTGAGTAAATTCAGCTGTAATTCCTTTATTTCTTCAGGATTCCAACAGTTTTAGCAGAGTTACAACTCCGGATGAGGAACAGAAGTTTCGACACGGCTGCGTCAAGAAGAGTTGGTCACAGAATTTATTTCCATTTTCTGACAAAACTCCACACAAACAAACTGGAAACCAGCTGAAAAAGAGAGATCCTTCTGTTTTATTTCATTTCCTTAGTTTGTTTATTTTTTAGCTGCTTCAGGAATTAACATAGCCTAGCGTAACCTAGGCTAGCCTAGCCTAGCATAGCAACTTTCCTGTTTCATCCACAGATTTAAACAATGAAACTGGAGAGAAATCTCTTTTTCCTAGGACACAGAAAGATTTGTCTTCTTGTTTTTTTAATAGGGGTTGGGTTGGTGGGGGGGGGGGGGGCAGGAAGTGGGTGGAAGTTAAAGGTACGGAGGAGGGGTTGCACAGTGTTCACAGACAGACAGACAGACAGACAGGGGCAGATAGACAGGCAGGGTGGGGGGGTGGGGGAGGAGCCTGTTCAGGTTCAGGGGCGGGGGGGGGGGGGGGGGGGGGGCGGTGTGCTTTGTCATGTCTGAATGAAAACAAGCAGCTCTCAAACCAAACTTAAAAAAAACACAAAACTTTTACAAATAATTTAGTTAAAAAACCACATCAGTGACACACACGGGGTGGGGTGGGGGGTGGCAGTGGATACTGGCAGTGAGTAGGGGGAGGGGGGGTATCAGGACATGGCAGTGAGCTGGAGCTGATCCTGGCGCCCCCCGCTGGAGCGAAACAGTCACTTTTATTCTGATTAATCTTTTATTTGAGCAAAAATAATCAGAACAAGAGTAAAAAGCATCCTGGCAGATTAGAGCTGGACAGAAAACGGGACAGAGAGACGGAGAGGACAGGGGGGACACACGAGCCGCCCCCCCCCCCCTCTGCTGCTGGTCCTTCGTCGTCGTGGCAGTTTGTTTTTCTTTAGGAGGAAATGAAGAGGAGATGAAGAGGAGATGAAGAGATGAAGGAGGAGTAAACATAGTCGTCTGGTATGATCAGAGTATAAATGGGGGGGGGTAAATGATGCTTTGATAATTTAATAATACGTCTCTTTTTCCACCCAGCCTGCAGAGAAGAGAGAAAAGACAGGAAGAGGAGGAGGAGGAGGAGGAGGAGGTGTAAAGAGTTACTCAGAAGCCGAGTCTGTGAGGATTAAAAGCGATCAGCTGATTGAACGCCCGCCTACCTCCAGGGTTTCGGCGAAGGATGAGTTTTCGGATCTCGTCGTAAACAAAGATGAGGAAGCTGTACGGGAACGCACAGAACCACCAGCTGGGCCTGAGGCAGAAGAGACGTGGACTTTAATCTTTATTCTATTAAAATAAGCTCTACGGCGATCCTCTGGGATGTTCCGTACTTGAGCGGGTACATCCGTAGGGCCAGGTCCATCCCGGGACAGTAGGACAGGAACGCAGCCAGAGCCGTTTCCTCGAACAGACCGAAGATCAAAATCTTATTCCTGCAAAGAGAAACAACGTTTGACGTTTTTATACGAAGCAGAGGAGAGGGCTGGCGGTTTACTGGGTCAACCCACCTCATGCCCTGCTGGAACACAGAGTTACGTCTGGTCTTGCAGATGATGACGTCGGCCCACTGCACCACCACGATGCTGACGAAGAACGCCGTGTGGCAGGTGAACTCCACGATCTTACGCTGCTCGTAGGTCTGTTCAGGAGGAGACCACACCCGTGTAATGTTTCAGCAACACAGCAGGATTCGTTTCCTCCACCAGGAGAAGAGTCACGCCTACCCATTGCTGCCCGTAGCTGTCCTCCAGGTCGTTGTTGGAGCGATCATCCCAGTTCAGCCGGATACCGACCAGCTGGGACGGCAGGAAACCATTTTCAGCCATGATCACAAAATAAGCAAAGAATCCCCCGAGAGCTTGGATCATCCCTGAAAACACACGGGAAGTTTATCCGACACAATAAAAATGTTTAGTTAACGTTTGGGATGGAGGAACACTGGGATGGAGGAACGTTTGGGATGGAGGAACACTGGGATGGAGGAACGTTTGGGATGGAGGAACACTGGGATGGAGGAACGCTGGAGGAACGTTGGGATGGAGGAACATTTGGGATGGAGGACTGCTGGAGGAACATTTGAGATGGAGGAACGCTGGGATGGAGGAACGTTTGGGATGGAGGAACATTTGGGATGGAGGAATGCTGGAGGAATGTTTGGGATGGAGGAATGCTGGAGGAACATTTGAGATGGAGGAACGCTGGGATGGAGGAACGTTTGGGATGGAGGAATGCTGGAGGAATGTTTGGGATGGAGGAATGCTGGAGGAACATTTGAGATGGAGGAACGCTGGGATGGAGGAACGTTTGGGATGGAGGAACATTTGAGATGGAGGAATGCTGGGATGGAGGAACGTTTGGGATGGAGGAACACTGGGATGGAGGAACATTTGGGATGGAGGAACACTGGGATGGAGGAACATTTGGGATGGAGGAACGTTTGGGATGGAGGAACACTGGGATGGAGGAACATTTGGGATGGAGGAACACTGGGATGGAGGAACGTTTGGGATGGAGGAACGTTTGGGATGGAGTAACACTGGGATGGAGGAACGTTTGGGATGGAGGAACGTTTGGGATGGAGGAACACTGGGATGGAGGAACGTTTGGGATGGAGGAACGTTTGGGATGGAGGAACGTTTGGGATGGAGGAACACTGGGATGGAGGAACGTTTGGGATGGAGGAACGTTTGGGATGGAGGAACACTGGGATGGAGGAACATTTGGGATGGAGGAACGTTTGGGATGGAGGAACATTTGGAATGGAGGAATGCTGGAGGAATGTTTGGGATGGAGGAATGCTGGAGGAACATTTGAGATGGAGGAACGCTGGGATGGAGGAACGTTTGGGATGGAGGAATGCTGGAGGAATGTTTGGGATGGAGGAATGCTGGAGGAACATTTGAGATGGAGGAACGCTGGGATGGAGGAACGTTTGGGATGGAGGAACACTGGGATGGAGGAACATTTGGGATGGAGGAACACTGGGATGGAGGAACATTTGGGATGGAGGAACGTTTGGGATGGAGGAACACTGGGATGGAGGAACATTTGGGATGGAGGAACACTGGGATGGAGGAACGTTTGGGATGGAGGAACGTTTTGGATGGAGTAACACTGGGATGGAGGAAAGTTTGGGATGGAGGAAAGTTTGGGATGGAGGAACGTTTGGGATGGAGGAACGTTTGGGATGGAGGAACACTGGGATGGAGGAACGTTTGGGATGGAGGAACGTTTGGGATGGAGGAACACTGGGATGGAGGAACATTTGGGATGGAGGAACATTTGGGATGGAGGAACGTTTGGGATGGAGGAATGATGGAATGGAGGAACATTTGGGATGGAGGAACATTTGGGATGGAGGAACGATGGAATGGAGGAACATTTGGGATGGAGGAACACTGGGATGGAGGAACATTTGGGATGGAGGAACGATGGAATGGAGGAACATTTGGGATGGAGAAACGATGGAATGGAGGAACATTTGGGATGGAGGAACGATGGAATGGAGGAACATTTGGGATGGAGGAACATTTGGGATGGAGGAACGATGGAATGGAGGAACATTTGGGATGGAGGAACATTTGGGATGGAGGAACATTTGGGATGGAGGAACGATGGAATGGAGGAACATTTGGGATGGAGGAACATTTGGGATGGAGGAACGATGGAATGGAGGAACATTTGGGATGGAGGAACACTGGGATGGAGGAACATTTGGGATGGAGGAACGATGGAATGGAGGAACATTTGGGATGGAGGAACACTGGGATGGAGGAACATTTGGGATGGAGGAACGATGGAATGGAGGAACATTTGGGATGGAGGAACGTTTGGGATGGAGGAACATTTGGGATGGAGGAACACTGGGATGGAGGAACATTTGGGATGGAGGAACGTTTGGGATGGAGGAACACTGGGATGGAGGAATACTGGGATGGAGGAATACTGGGATGGAGGAACATTTGGGATGGAGGAACATTTGGGATGGAGGAACACTGGGATGGAGGAACGTTTGGCATGGAGGAACGTTTGGGATGGAGGAACGTTTGGGATGGAGGAACATTTGGGATGGAGGAACATTTGGGATGGAGGAACGCTGGGATGGAGGAACGTTTGGGATGGAGGAACACTGGGATGGAGGAACATTTGGGATGGAGGAACACTGGGATGGAGGAACATTTGGGATGGAGGAACGTTTGGGATGGAGGAACGTTTGGGATGGAGGAACGCTGGGATGGAGGAACGTTTGGGATGGAGGAACACTGGGATGGAGGAACATTTGGGATGGAGGAACACTGGGATGGAGGAACATTTGGGATGGAGGAACGTTTGGGATGGAGGAACACTGGGATGGAGGAACATTTGGGATGGAGGAACACTGGGATGGAGGAACGTTTGGGATGGAGGAACGTTTTGGATGGAGTAACACTGGGATGGAGGAAAGTTTGGGATGGAGGAACGTTTGGGATGGAGGAACGTTTGGGATGGAGGAACACTGGGATGGAGGAACGTTTGGGATGGAGGAACGTTTGGGATGGAGGAACACTGGGATGGAGGAACATTTGGGATGGAGGAACATTTGGGATGGAGGAACGTTTGGGATGGAGGAATGATGGAATGGAGGAACATTTGGGATGGAGGAACGATGGAATGGAGGAACATTTGGGATGGAGGAACACTGGGATGGAGGAACATTTGGGATGGAGGAACGATGGAATGGAGGAACATTTGGGATGGAGAAACGATGGAATGGAGGAACATTTGGGATGGAGGAACGATGGAATGGAGGAACATTTGGGATGGAGGAACATTTGGGATGGAGGAACGATGGAATGGAGGAACATTTGGGATGGAGAAACGATGGAATGGAGGAACATTTGGGATGGAGGAACGATGGAATGGAGGAACATTTGGGATGGAGGAACATTTGGGATGGAGGAACGATGGAATGGAGGAACATTTGGGATGGAGGAACGATGGAATGGAGGAACATTTGGGATGGAGGAACATTTGGGATGGAGGAACGATGGAATGGAGGAACATTTGGGATGGAGGAACATTTGGGATGGAGGAACATTTGGGATGGAGGAACGATGGAATGGAGGAACATTTGGGATGGAGGAACATTTGGGATGGAGGAACGATGGAATGGAGGAACATTTGGGATGGAGGAACACTGGGATGGAGGAACATTTGGGATGGAGGAACGATGGAATGGAGGAACATTTGGGATGGAGGAACACTGGGATGGAGGAACATTTGGGATGGAGGAACGATGGAATGGAGGAACATTTGGGATGGAGGAACGTTTGGGATGGAGGAACATTTGGGATGGAGGAACACTGGGATGGAGGAACATTTGGGATGGAGGAACACTGGGATGGAGGAATACTGGGATGGAGGAACATTTGGGATGGAGGAACATTTGGGATGGAGGAACACTGGGATGGAGGAACGTTTGGCATGGAGGAACGTTTGGGATGGAGGAACGTTTGGGATGGAGGAACATTTGGGATGGAGGAACATTTGGGATGGAGGAACATTTGGGATGGAGGTACGTTTGGGAGCAAATTGCAGTTGTTAGCTAAAGCTACGACACCGCCGCAGACAGGAAGTGCGAGGCGTACCGATCTGTCCGTAGGCGATGCTGATGAGTCTCTCGTTCACCAGCTTGTCCCTCAGAGGGTTCCTGGGCTGGCGCTTCATGATGTCACTTTCTGCTGCTTCGTAGGCCAGAGAGATGGCGGGAACCTGAGACAGATGTGGTTCTGTTACATCATGGAAGAACATCTGGATTTCAGCATGAAAACAAACTTTGATGTGAGGGTTTACAAACAAAATGAATCTTTATGCTTCTGATCATTAATCCCAACTTTATATTTTAGCTCTTTCTCACACAGCAGTTATTATGAAACACGTGAACTAACACATCCAGGACAGATGGCTGTGGATCTAAACCAGGGCTGGTCCTACACTGCCACCTAGTGTCTCCACTGAGTCGTGTACAGGAAACCAGACCAGGATCAAACCGGATGCATCCCGTTTCTGGATGGAAGGTTTGGATCTGATGATAATGTCTGAACAGCGCTGACGTCAGGGATCAGGCTGACCCTCTCTTCTCACCATGTCGGTTCCCAGGTCGATGCAGAGGATGGTGATGGTTCCAAGAGGCAGCGGGATGTTCACCAGGATGAAGAACAGGAAGGGGGTGATTTCTGGGATGTTGCTGGTTAGGGTGTAAGCGATGGACTTCTTCAGGTTGTCGAAGATCAAGCGCCCTGGAAGGAAAAAATAACTTTTTCAAGTTCAGATCTTTCTCCAGGTTTCCAGCGGAGCGGTGGCTGTTAGCTTCCAACACGTTCACACAGTTTTCCTCACGAGTCGCTGGGATACGCTCTGAGCGGCTGGAACGTTTGGGAGAAATGTGAGATGACTTTGGGAGGAGCTGGAGACCAAATTGGGAATATGATAAGTTAGTTTGTAGTTCTGTCACCAACCACATGAGACTCAGGCCGAGGTTTGACCCATCCAGTCAGCTTTAGCGGGATACTGGTTACTGGTTACCGGGATGGGCGGATGCAGCAGCGGGAAGGTATTCACCACTTCTATAACGCGCTCTAGGCAGGTGTGAAAAATGCTGGAAACAAAATAACTTATTTTCATCAACAACAAAAAGAAGGGGATGCAGAAAAGAGAAAGCCAAGCATCAGGTCTTCCAGCTACACCGGAACACAGCTGGACCTGGACTGGTGGGGTGTTCCCGACATCTGGGAGAACTAACCACGGATGTAGGCTTCCTCACATCCTTCTGTCCCTCCGTGGGTCCCAGACACGCTCCACGATGGCGGGATCAGGCTTCTGGTTCTTTAGGACGACGCTAGTTCTGAATGACCGCTCACGTTTATTTGTAAACGATCCTTTTTTTATATTGTTGTTTTCATTTCTACAGGTTTCACTGGAAGCCTCTGAGGGTGAACCCTCACCCCTCCACGGGGCTCGCTCACCTTCTTCTACTCCGGTAACGATGGAGGCGAAGTTGTCATCGAGCAGGATCATGTCTGCGGCTTGTTTGGACACGTCAGAACCAGAAATCCCCATGGCAACACCGATGTCGGCCTTCTTCAGGGCAGGAGAGTCGTTGACGCCGTCGCCCGTCACAGCAACAATGGCTCCCTGACAGAAACAGACGCATTAGCGACAGGCAGCAGCCGTGTGGTCGTAGGCACCTGAGGCGTACCTGTCTCTGGCAGCCCTCTACGATGATCAGCTTCTGCTGGGGGGACGTTCTAGCGAAGACGATCTCAGTGTGGTTCTTCAGGATGTCGTCCATCTGCTCCTGAGAGAGGTCCTTCAGGTCGGTGCCGTGGATCACGCAGGCCTTCGCGTCTCTGCACCAAACAAAGAAACCCGTTCGTTCAGGGACACGTCACGGTCATCAACGCCGCTTTAATGAGCCAAACTTCCTGTTCTACCTGGGGTTAACCTGGCTGACGGGGATGTTCAGACGGGCAGCGATGTCCTCCACCGTCTCGTTGCCCTCAGAGATGATGCCCACACCTTTGGCGATGGCCTTGGCTGTGATTGGATGATCGCCGGTCACCATGATAACCTACAGAGGAAAACAAAGTTAGCCGAGGCGTTTGGTCGGAGATGAACGGCGTCGTGCCGCGAGGACACGCAGGGATCCATGAACGGTGCAGACCTTGATGCCAGCGGAGCGACATTTGCCCACAGCGTCGGGTACGGCGGCACGGGGAGGGTCGATCATGGACATGAGGCCAACGAAGCAAAGGTTATCCGTCTGGAAGTTGACGTCATCGGTGTCGAAGGCAAAACCTTTAGGGTACTTGTCCTCTGGCATGAAGAGGTGGCAGAAACCTGGAAAGACCCAAACCGGAGGATTTAAAACGGTCAGACACAAACATGCTCCAGTGTCGCTCCTCCTTACCCAGCACTCGCTCTCCCAGTCCTCCCAGCTCCAGGTAGGCGTTCTGGAAGGCCTCCTTCATCTCGTCGTCCATGGGCTGCTCTTTGCCCTGCACCATGATGGTGGAGCAGCGGTCCAGGATCCGCTCCGGCGCTCCCTTCATCACCAGCAGGTAGCGATTGTCGCTCTCATCTTCGGTTTCGTGGATGGAGAGCTGGACAGGAACAGATTCAGCTCTTAGTGTTTCAGCGTCGCGACCGGGAGGTCCGGAACCAGAACCCGTCCAGAACCCACGGCTCACCTGATACTTGTTGGTGGAGTTGAACGGGATCTCGGCCACCTTCTTATTCTTGTCCCTCATGGCTTTGACGGCACCACAGGACAGCTCGATGCACTTGAGCAGAGCCGACTCGGAGGCGTCGCCGGCCACCTCCCGCTTCAGGATGGGTAAAGACTCCTGACCCGCTTTGAACACGGCGCGGTTGCACAGCGCAGCGATGCGGGCCAAAGAAACCCAGGTGGTAGAGCTCTTATCGAAGGAGGAACCTGAGGAGGTGAGAACATGTTAACCTGAAGATTCCTCCTTATGGATCACTTCTGAACAGAAACCGCGCAGCAGGAGATCCTCACCAGACTGGTCTTCGGTGGTGTCGGCTTCATGGATCTGATTGTCGAACCACATGTGGGCCACGGTCATCCGGTTCTGGGTCAGGGTTCCCGTCTTGTCGGAGCAGATGGTGGAGGTGGAGCCCAGGGTTTCCACCGCCTCCAAGTTCTTCACCAGGCAGTTCTTACGAGCCATTCGCTTAGCAGTGAGTGTCAGACACACCTGCAGGACAGGAGAGGCAGGTGGGGGGAGAGAGACCGGATGAGCGCCTGCAGGCGTCAGACAAACATCTGCTGACATCAGCAACTTTGAACATCAAACAGACGCTTATCCCGTTCAGCAAAATGCACTCAAACTAAAAACCCGCAGCCCGTCAAGCCATGCAGAGGCATGAACAGGTGAGGCGACGCAGCAGCGCAGCGGTGCGACTCTTTATCACGCCACATACGGCAAGACCAGCGGGCCAAACAGAACCAGCAAAGCCCGAGCCGAGGAGGCCAAACTCCGTCCATGGAGCTGATCAGAGTCGCCAACTGGCCTAAAGTCATTACGCTAGCTAGTGGTTGTCTCTGCAGCGAGCATCAGCGCTGGCCTGGAAGAGACAGGAGACACACACACACACACACACACACACACACATCCACACCCACCACACACACACACACACACACACACATACACCACACACACACACACACACACACATACACCACACACACACACACACATCCACACCCACCACACACACACACATCCACACCCACCACACACACACACACACACACACACACACACCCACCACACACACACACACACATCCACACCCACCACACACACACACACACACACACACACACATACCCACACCCACCACACACACACACACACACCCACCACACACACACACACACACACACACACACACACACACACACACACACACACACACACACACCTGCTTCGAGAGAGAGGGGGGGGAGGATGGACACACACACACACACACACACACACACACACACACACACACCCACACCCACACACACACAGACACACACACACACACACACCTGCTTCGAGAGAAAGGGGGGGAGGA